TTTCCATAAGGGAGCAGATCCCCCAAACTGGCAGAGAATCTGCCTGAGTGGTTCAGTAAAAACATGCCTCAGCAGAAAGGTAGAAGTCCTTGTGTGTCTTCCTATTGAAAGGTGTCAAGATGTAAAGTGCAGAAATGCTGATGATTAAAAATGATACATCCTCTTTCTACTGCCTGTACAGCCCAGTTATGATTATTGACATATTTTTCTACAACTAAACCCAATATAATGGAATCTTATTTTGACTGGAAAATGAAACAGAAAAGGCTTGTGACCAAAACTGAGTTTGGTATTTATTACACATGTGGAAAATGTACTCTGCTGTTCTGTATGAAACATTCATAAGAGTATAAAGTAAAACTTCAGAACCATGAAACAGTAATTTTCGTGACACACAGGTCCTCGAGTGACTCCATCATCTGTTCCCTGAATAAAAAACTAATGCAGACGATTCAGTTTTCCACAACGCATTAAAACAGTAACAAGAAGCGCCTGTGCAAACCGTGCCACCATTTTGGGCAGGGCCTCCCAATTCCTTGCAGTGGAAGAAGGCCCAGGGCCTAGTATCTGCTGCAGCGGAAGAAGCTCTGAAACAATTTTTGTTAAAAAAAGGCCTTCTTAAGCAACGTGCTAAAGCAACTAAGTGCAACACAGCCTCTCCGGTGTACTGCTCGCTCCAGGGAGAAGGCAGCTTTGTCAGACGGTGATGCCAGAGGTGCCAGACACGTCGCTTCGCAGGTGAAAGCCAGGGCACCACCACGTTCATGGACAGGACGGAAAGGAAAGCATGCGGTGGGAGCCGTAAGATGATGAGTGAACGAGAAACCTGGGTAAGATCAAGAATCCAGCTCTGTCATTTCACTCCCCACGAAGTATGTTTTCTCTCGAGCCCCACCTTCACTGCGTTTTACCTCTTCTCGTTTCCCTCTCCCCTCCTCCGCACCCTTCTCTCACTGTTTTGCCGCAGGGCTACCCAGTTTGTGGCAACAACCAGCAGAAAGGAACTCACGCCTCAGAGGGGGAAGGAGAAGCCCGTGCGAGAAGGGTCACGGAGTGCTCCAGAGGCCGGGGTTTCAGTCACGCACGCTGCACCGTTACTGACAGCGAGCCCCTGAGGGAGAGACGGGCACTGGAGAGCACGGGGCAGGGTCGACCTCGTCCCCCGCCAGCTGGGGTCAAGGGCTGGCTGAAAACGGAGAACCCGCGAATTGAGGAAGAGTTTGCAAGTAAGGGGCATAACTGGTATGATAAAATCGTCACAGCGGGAGCAGTGAACCAGCCGTGTAACTTCCTGGGTCATGCCGGCGCTTCGAGGCTCGAGGGCCGCTCTCGTGGCCTCATCCCTGCCTCCCATTTGCCTTGCACGGGCTCGGATAAACTTTAAAACGAAGGAAGACCGGCTCATTTCGCCGATTTTGAACTGTGGAAAAAAAATCCAGTGAGGGTGTGTGTGCCTATGACTGATGGAAATCAAACCTCTGAAGTGCAGATTATTTTAATTATAGCTAGAAGAGCATGTAAGGTTCAAGTGCCAGCCGGATAGCTTCCATTCTGATCTTTAATTCTGTAGTGATGAAAATGCTTATGAGTGCCTCTGTCTAGCTGAAAGAATTGCAGACTGTCTTTTTTATGGCAGTTGGGACACTACTGACCCTAAACAACGAAACCTCAATATACAAAAGGAGAAATTATATCCATATCTGTATGAAATAAGGCATCATCAGCTCTTACACACGCACTCTTGCCGCATGCCTTTTACTGCAAGGCACCCACTGAAGGGAGAGGTTTTGTGAACAACACTGTTGATTTCTCACCCCCCAGCCCAGTTTTCTTTGAAAGAGGACGTAACTTGTAACTTCTGGTAGCTTTAAGACATGCAAACTTGCAAAATGGATTGGACAAAGTCTAGCAAGTGATCCTCCAAATTCTGGCAGACGCAAACTATATCACATAATCGGCTTTACCCTTTCCACTGTACAACAGTCACAATTACTGTGAACGCCAAGATAAGAATATAATGTGTATTAGTAACTAGATCACACATTTGTTCCCACAACGTATTCATTTTATTGTATCTGTTGACCTACATTAGAGAAATGATGCAAGGATTAAGGCTTTAAACATCTTCAGTGGAAAGTGCTATTTCAAAATCTGACGCATTTTGGCAGTTTCAAGTGCAGTAAAAGTCAAGCTCCTCCAGCCCTAACACAGTGTTCGACTGCCTCTCTTTTCTACCCTAAGTGCTTTTTATCCATATAAATGCAAATAAAACCATGTGGAAAACCATACCTTTAAAATTTCGTATCATTGCTAGTTATTTTGTACATACAAAAACCTGAACTACACAAAATTCCTCTTCATGTATCCGTTTGCATAGCTATATCTGAAAGACATTTTGTGTTCTTTAATCTATTGTTTAGAAAATCTGGCGTTTCATTTCACAGTTAAAAGAACTTAATTACTTGAATCGTAGAGACATGAAAGGCAAAGTAAGGAAAGAAAACATCTAATTTTAAACTCTTCTTCTGCAAGCTAATTTGATAGTATAACCTGAAAGTACAGAAATCTACTTCTGAGTATTTGAAACTTCACATCTTTTACCTTCTCTCTCAAGAGATATTACTCAGGTTTAGTGTGACATTTTGAAATGTCACCATCCCTGGCTCAAAACTAGAAGCTCTAATGCAGAATAGACACCTACCTGCTTTAATTCAGAAATCCATTCTGTATGTGATGTGATATTCTAAGAACCTCTGCACATACCCTTTCTCATCCTACAGAAAGAAAAAACAACAACAACAAAAAAATCACTTCAGGAATCTCTTTCCTGTCTAAATGAACAGGCACTGTGAGAATCCATGGGTAAAGTCACTTTCCAAAAGCCTTGTTATTCTGATATAGCCACAAATTTTGGACCAAAAAATAGAGGGGGAGGGGAAATATTTTTCCTGAAAATACACTTTTGCCATGTCAAGAAGATAACATTTTCTCAATAAAGACAGAGTAATTTTGTTTTTGCTGGAAGGCTGAAGTTGGAAAAAATGGTAATACTTGCCAAAGATCCACTCGACCTCCACATTTCATCCATCTGCGGCACCAGAACAAAGGCGCCCATGGGAGCTCTCAAACATGGTTCTCCTTCTGTCATAATTTGATAGTCATCAATATTAATATTAGAATTCTACAAGTATGTACTCAGTTTTAACATCTACATGTGGCAGCATATGAATAAATACATTCTGTAAGTTACTGCTAAATTTACTGGCAAACAAACGCTGAGGTTCTTTGGCGAGTTCAAAATCATTAAATGTAAAAAACGGTCAATTCGGAAAGTACCTATGAAAGGGATTAATTTATCCTTTTCTTGTCCAATCCCTTGACTTGATAAAAGATCACTGTCAAGCTGTGAAATTTGCTTAAAACATTCCCTGAAGTTAATAGTCATGTTTTAGCCCTAGAAGCCTTCTAACAGTGCGCTGATACACTCGTACAGTGAAGATACAGGTTTTCCTCAATATCAAAACTGAAAAAAACACCAGCTATCATCAGTGCCATAAACAAGGAGTTGCCACTCAGACATCATCCACCATATAAGGAAATTAAAAAAGAGGCCACAATTATTACGCAGGACACATAATATTGGAAGTGATGACCAAGAGCTCACCAGCTGACAGAGCAAACCACGCAGGAACACAGCAGGGAAAGGCTGTTCCCAGTCACCGAGCCCAATGACTGCTATCGCAGGCAGTCAGCTCTTCTCCTTTTCATAACTTAACCTTTGCATTGGCTGGCTCCGCAGTTCCCAAAAATCTTAGTGGATTTGAAGCAGCGCAATAGCTTCCCTTCCCACGTTTACGAGCGGCTAGTTCATACTGCATGTTGCTTGTGCCTGGTCTGCCCCAAAGATTTAGCGTTTCTTAACATTCCTGCAAGATTTACTCATTACACTGATACACATCCCCAGGAGCATTTGCATTTCTGCCACTAAGGCAGCACAGTCCCCATACTAGCTTGAATCTCCTTCCACACAGGGGCATTCAGACACCCCCCCCCCCCAGCATTCTGTGTGAGAACCGCTGCCCCTGAAGGCAAACAACTCCCTGCCTTTTCCTGAATTTTCTGTGCCTAATGGGAACCCAGGATTACAGGTGCATAACACACTGTTGTACAAGTTATACTCATTTCCTGGCAGAAATCCCTCTCCTCAGGCCCTGTGCCCACTCTGTATACTCAGTCCAACACCTTCTCCCATTCCTCATTTTTCAGGGCTACCAGGCCTTCAGATGTCAAGCTCACATTCTTCCCGGTAGTGACAATGTCATCTGACTTTTTATCAGTAAAATTTTTCTTTTTTTTTTTTTTTTTTTCCCCCAAAGAATTAGAGGAAATTAAAACCAAAACAACCAGTTTCTAGCACTTAATGAAAAGTCATAGCCTTGTGTACTGTCTGATGGACAGTGCTCTTGAAGTAACTGGAAAATTCGCTCTTTCTGCACTGAACATTCAAAAATGGAGGTAGCCACTGTCAGACAACATGAAATACAGTGAAGACAGCAACAAGCTTTGTATTTTGCGCTTTTTAAAACTACAGTTTAACTTGCTCACCAGATACACTTAAATTCTAAATGCAGAGGAGTGTGTGTGCATGTATTTGGCACTTCTCCTTATTTTTGAAATTAATTTAGTGAGCACTATGTTAGATTCTGACCAATTTAGACCAAATCTGTTTTTTCCAGAAGTTACAGCATTTCAAAGTGAAGTACTTCATTAAGCCACAATGCACCTTCTGTTGCTATTCACATACTATGTAAAAGAAACCACAAAATGTGATTTAAATCAGGTAAAGCAAAGATGCTGCTTCATTTTTGTGATGATGTGCTTTTGTTTAGATACATCACTCAACCAGGTCCTTAAGAAGTTCCTACTTACTAAGTATTAATTAAATGTTTTTGTCAGTCCTTGACAAAGATCCTTAGCTGGAAATAAAGACAGACTCCAACTTTGTTTTATTTTTTAATAAAGTTTAAATAGTTAAAATAAGAGGAAAGAGTATGCTTTAAAGCCAAGCTATTTCTTTGTTCCATGCTAGGCCTTAAAAGTTGGATTTACTAGCAAATACAGGCCACGAGAAGAGCGCTGTGTACTTAAAATGCTGGTGTAGAATATATTAAAATAGCCAGTGACTTACTCCAGCTTACCTTAAAACAAATGAAACACAATCTTTACAGTTTTTTAAATGTACTACCTCTTATCCTGAATAATGGAAAAATTATCCCCACAAAAGACTTTTTTTTTTTTTTAAATATGAAAACTCTACAAAATATTTGCTTTATCCGTTGGCAGGACTTTGAAATTCTCAAGGATATTTAGATGTGTCTGCCTAAGAAAGTTTATAAATGCCAATCCAACACCGTAACAAAAATTCCAAACAGAACTGGAAATTAGAATAACTCAACCAAATCATCTCACTATAAGAATATTATGTTTCAATACTGCATAAACACAGATCAGCATGGTTTGTTTTGTTTTAAAAATTCTTGATGACCCGCAGAATATAGCACAGGTTTATTTCACTATTACCTTTTCCCTTCCATTTCCCTAATGCTATTTCCTCATTTACATTTAAAACACTAATTTGTCTACTGACTTTCTGCCCTTGGGGCTTTTTTTAGCCTCAGTTCTATCCTCACCCAATAAGATCCTTCCCCTCTGGCTTCTTAAAGAGGTTTTTGTTTGTTTGATTGATTTTCAGTTTCGTCTTTTTCAGATACAGGTAAGTATCCTACCATAAAGGGAGCATGGAAACGAATGGGAACAGCACTGGGAGTTAACGAGACATTTGCAAGCCAAGACTTTGAGTAGGAACTTCAACAGCTACTATTTTTGAAAGAAAAATGTCATGCTTTCTTTATACTTGATAATATTTGACATATTTGATAATATGTCTACTATAAACATACTCTTGTGCCACAGACAGCCACAAACTGCAGACAAAGCTATATAGCACACAGTTTGATGAATTCAGCGTAACAGAAAAAAATGGTAGAGTCCTAGTAGCAGCTGCAATGGTAACAAACATTTAGAAACCAAAGCGATCCAATAACCTAAAAATACATCTGTTAAACTAGGGAAAAATGAGATTAGAAGCTTCCAAATTTCAGACTGATTGCTCAGAGACCACAGTAGAAAACTAAACTCAGATGTAAGGAAGTATTAGCTTTGAAAAGCTTCAGCTTCCCAAAATTCAAAATTATTAAAAAGCAATACATCTGTTCATCATTCTATGATTTAACTGTTTTCTGTCTATGGGAATAAACAGCAGGATACAATCATTTGCAACATCCGTTTACTTTTTTTTTTTTTTTAACATTTTAAACTAAATTAAGAAAATATTCTTACAGAAAAAAAATATTTAGATGAGCACAAAGAAATGCCATGACAAATCCTGAGACAAATTATTCTACATCATTGCTAGTCTATGAAAAACTGGTTTGAATAATAAACACACTGGAGTATTCAGTGACAGCATACAAATCAAAAGTATTTGTAAATTATTAAGTTGCGCATGTTTTTAAATGACAAAACATGCTCACGGGTTTACTTTAAAATCTCTCACTGCTTGTTATCAAAGTTAAAAGATCATTTGCATACCAATACACATACTGTAAACATGAACTTCTCATTAAGGAAAGATGGGTTTACAGTAATTTGATCTTTTACAAAAAGCTATTGGTAACTGAATCTCTCAGTGTCTAACTTTCTAGAAAATTAAACCAATGTTTCCACTCTCAAAGTTGAAACACTACCGCTTTAGGAAACAGCCCTGTTTATTTGTTAATCAGAAATACAATCAAGTGGCATATTTCCATTTGCTCTTCAGCTGACAGTTTCAGCTTCATTGTGTTTTACAAGAAAACAGGAGACTTGCAGAGGTCCTGTAAATTCTTTCATATCGCAACTGATTTAATTACAGCGGTGAAGAAAAGAAGCGGTGATGCAAAATAAGATCAGCCCAATTGCCCTTATCTGATGATAGGATCTCTCTTCCTGTTTGGCTTGCAGCAGTGAGGACTTCTTGTTTTGTTTCTTTTCTTTTTTTTTTTTTTTTTTTTTTTTTTTTTTTTCTGGTCAGGCTGCCTCCATCAAGACTGACAGAAGCAAGCTGACATGCCCTTCTAATTTCAGCTTGAGAATGATCCTCATACCAATATAGCCCAGTTTCAATCGGTAGGTTGGGGAATGATACTAATGTGGAGAAAATTATCTGGATAGCTCATATGTTCACTTAGCCACTGTATGGGTGTTTCCAGCATTGGCTCAATTCCATGAATCATCACTTGAGTCTTCTGCTCTCCATCTAATTCAAAGAAAAAGAGAAACCACTAGTATACCATTCAAAGTTCACAGAAAGATTAAACATTTACTTATACTTAATTTACAGTGTTACAGAGTTTAACGTTTAACAGAACAAAAAGCAGGAAATATTGGTATGGAGAAAGCCAAGATTTCTATCATCTAAAACAGAAACTTTGAGTTAAAATTAATTCCAAGAAAAAATTGGGTTAAAGTGGAACATAATCGAAGTGTCACTCTTCTTCATTAGCTGCAAGGTTTTTTTTCCCTACAGCAATCACAGCTTGGTGTGAACACAGTTAAGGCATATCCATCTAGCCTGGCTATAAGCCATATGAATTTTACATAGATCATGCTTAAGATGTTGATCTGCCTAAGATGTACTAATAAAGTTGCATTCTCAGTATGGTGATCTCCTGAAAGAGCTGGACTACATGTAATATGTCACACATATAATACATGTAATATTCCTGAAGTAATTTTGTTTTGCTAGGAATAATTTACTTGAGCCTAGCAATATTTCTGAACTCACTCAGAAGGCTGAGTTGGCACCAGCCTTTTCTCACTTAGTTTCATCTCTTGGAAAAGCTAAGTTTGCAAATGATTCCCAGTATGACAGGAATATTTTCTAAGAATATTTCAATTCTTTTTATTTATACTTGTCCCGGAGGATGCAAGTACTTTGATCCTTTGATTCAAAGGATGGGAACCAGCTAAAGCAACTGACATAACTGTCATGAAATGAACTTTAAAAAAAAAAAAAAAGCAAACTTATTTCAGAGCCTTGAGAAGAGAAGAACATCTGAAATATGCTCCAAATAACGGTTAGGGGAAAAAAAAGTAGGCAGTGACCTTTTACTGCTTTTTATACTATGCTCTCGCATTCTCACATGGATCTACCACAGTGAAATCCACATTCACTGCTCCAAAATATCACTGCTTTCTCTGCTTGGCATTTTATGCCCCCCTCAACCCTCTATATTACAGAACAAACCACTGTGCTCCCCAAGAATTGCGTGGAAGAGAGTAGAATCTAGAAGTGAAGGTACCATTACTGGCTCTTTCATTCGGCTAACCCAGTTGTAGCATAATCCCTATTTTATAACACAGATAAAATCTTATTTATTTGATAACCAAGATGATTTGACAGCTGCCTGAGGAAGTTTGTATTATAACATGGTACCTATGCCAGCACAGGCTAAATTAGACCAGGAAGAATCATCCTTGAACATGCTGTTGACTTTATGCTAGTAATAATTCTTCCTGCAGAAGCAGACAGTTATGTTTGCCTAAAATAAAGCATTATACATTAGTTCCATGTTACCTACATATGGTATCATATTCTGTACAAATTATTGATTAAATAGATAAAGCTTGGTCCTCTAAATGGCATAGTATACACATGATCACACTAAATCAAGAATAAACATTTGCTGTTTTCTGCTTTTGCTGCAGACAGGTCAGAAGAATGCAGCATGTAATTTAAAAATAAACTTCTAGGATTTCCAACCAAAGCAGATATTTATTGGGCTGAAACATTACCGGTCAGATTGTCAAGAGTATAGACTCCAAAAGTAAAGATCTCAGAAACCAAGTTTTTACACCGAGAAGTTAGGAAACATCTAAATATTTTTAATATTTAATAAGTAACTCTGAAATATATGTATTTAACACTAATTCTGAAATATATGTATTTAACACTTTCAAATTAAAATCCGTCTATGGTATTCCATAAATTGGCCACAGAGTTGGTGACATTTTTTTGTATTTTGTAATATTATTTAATTTTCAGAAACAACTAATTTGCATACACAGATGGCAGGATGCTGTTTTGGCTTTAGTGCTGTGCTAGCCACCTATATATAGCTGACTCTTAGCAAAAACTTGCACTAAGAATAGATTAAAACCTTTAGAACCTCAGTATCATTTTCTTGTCACTGGAGGAAAGGCTTATAAATGATAAATACTTTCTTTGGCTCTTCTTTTACTGTGTGACAGAACATTTTTGGATGTGTGTGCATGTGTGTACTACTTGATGGCTCTGGCTTAAACATGAAATGCTGTTAATCTGAGTGTCCCCATTCCCTGCTCCCTACCCAACTCTGTCCCTTTCTCATACAAATCTTCTATTCTGTTCCTCAGCAAAGCGAGAAAGTCTCAGAAGTCAATGAAGAATTTAGTTTAATTAAAGTCTACATCGCTGCATTAGCGTTGTTTGTGCTTTAGTATTATCTCTGACAAAGCACCACTTCTCCTTAATTCCTTTTCCCCTTGAGACTCAACTAAAGAGATCTTATCTAACAATTCTGTATTTACTGTAGCCTTCTTTCACAAAATCCACTGTTTTTACTTTAGCATTCTTCCTTCTTTTTGTTACTAGAGACCATAAACTCTCACTTAAGTCACATTTACCCAAACCTTCCTCAGTTTCCATGTTTCCAGTAACTTCCCCATTTTGAATCACATACAGAGTCTCTCCTATAGATGGCTCCTCTGCTTTAAGTAGCAAAAAGTTGTCAACAGCAAATACATTACAAAAAATACTGGAAAATATTCTTGTTTTCTCAACTGCTGTCTAATTTGTATCCACCCTTACCGTTGTGATCTGGGTCTGGATGATATGCTAGCTATCATGAAAGCTTCATCCACCTGGTTTACAGATATAATAGATTTACATAATATTTTTCTTTCCATTACTGTTCATAGTCTTAAGCTCTGTGGCTTATTCTGTATGCATCTTGACACAGCAAGTGCTGTCTTCTTTTTCCCCACCCCATATTCTATAACAAAACATCTTTCTAGACTGACAAAATGTATCTGTAGAAGTGTACAAGTTGGTAAACACAACACATATTTAAAGGAGTGGTCTAAGATTTAAATCACTTAATTACAAAGAAGATTAATGCCATTCTGTGACGTTGGACTAGGCCTATAAAAAATAGGGAAAAAAACTCTGCTCATCTGTAGTGCATGGGGTCCAGACACAATAGTATCATTACTGTCAATACCCACTTTACAATATTCAGTAATGTAGTAAAAAACCCCACTGTTTCCTCAAAAACAAGTTCAAATTTTCCAGTCACCTCATTTGACTTTTTTTTTCCTTTTAAAATCTTGATAGAACTGAGTTATGTTAGCTATCATATGACCTAAAGATGGTTTCTTTTACTTTGTTGCAGATTAACCTCAGGAAGAAGAGGAAGTGGAAATATCAGAAAAATAAAAGGATAGCAATACAGGTTTCATTGGCAGTTTTTCTAATGTGTGTACATAGTAACTATTTATTTAAAATCAGAGCATTTTTATATTACTGAAGGGATGCACAAATACTGCTTTGGCATTTACAAAAAAAAAAGAAAAAAACAAACTCTCAAAACTAATTAAGTCATCTCCTACCAGAACAGTCGCCCCAGGATTAAATGTTTCTTCTTTGCTCTCCTTGTGGAAATCCATGAATATAGAAGGTACTAGAGACCCCAAAAGTCTCTAGTGGCAAGTGATAAGCACAGATTACAAAGCTTTTAGGTAAAACTTAACAATATTCCATCTCCAGAAGGCAGATAATCATGCTTACATGTTGTGCACTAAGACATTTTTGAGGCATTTCAGATCACTTTAGACACTAACTCAAAGGCTGCAACACTTAAGGTAAGTACCTGACCCAGGCTAATAAATGACACCATGTAGAATGAAATGAATTTTCCAACTTTTCCTTCTGGCCAGGGTAGATATTTCAGCCATTTTTTACGCAGATTAGCACCACAATGCTCACCAATGCTGCAGCTACACACTCTCTTTTACTCACACAAGATCAGCTTCTCTAGCCAGACTACATCTGTGATGCACCACTTAAAATTCTTTAGTGGGATGAAATACCTCCCTTGTGATTTGTGGCCTCTAGCAATCACCTGTCAGGGCAATTTAGCTGGCTTAAATTCTTTCACTTACAGACAATACAAGATATTCAGGATTTAGCAAAAAAGTCCCTGGAGTACTCTGATTAGAATCCTCCATATGCAAGTCCAATGCATAGCAAGTCCCAGAACCTGCCTGTAGTCATCAAAACGGACAATGCAGAAACCACAGCTTCTTATTCAGGGCAGCACCACCTACAAAATTGGCTTTAAAACCCTAAAAAGGGAAATAGAACCCTGTGCTCCAAACGAGGAGCAAACAATGCACTTCTGGCACGATAGGAGGCCACGGGACTACATTGGACAAGGATACTGAAAAGTGGAAGGAGTAACTCTAACCAAGGAAAGTGTTGCACAGTAGCAGCCTTATGAATAATGTAACAGAAGTAGTTTCCAGCTTTTTCAGCTGTGAAGTGGGCCATAAACATCTGCTTGCTTATCTTCAGAACACATCCCATGTTCTGGCTTAGACGATGCTAAAGGTATTTCTGACAGGAGGTTATACCACACTGTAGGAAAACTCATCTTGGGTCTGTGAGTTCTCCTTTGGTGGCTGTGGTGCAGCTGCTTTCCTTTCCACTGTTCCTGCTCCTCAGATTACCAGGCGGGAGAACAGGCTTTGGGGTGCATCTTCAGGTGCACTGAAGCAGCCAGGGCATTCCCTGACCGTCTGTGCTTGGCACCTGGTGCCCCGCACACCTCTGAATCTCAAAAGTCACACCAACGTCTTCACCGGGAAGATTTTAATCTACTTCTTTAAAAGCTCTTGGGAAATTGCTTACAGATGCATAGCTTTTAGTAATGTGCTTCACGTGTGGATGCAACCACTAAGTTCGCTACTGATAGATATTGCTGACTCAATTTTTAAAGCCTAAAGCCAGAGTCAGGTGGGGCTAAGTCCCTGGCAAGCAAGGGTGAAAATTTCCTTCTTGAAAGTTAAGACTTCTGGCCGAGCACAGAGGATCGCCTACTAAACTATGTGCAATTATTTACAAAAGACTACACTACATTAGCAAGCAAATTCAAAAACTATGTTCTAACCGGTAGCCACAGGTGGTAAGAAAGAAGTGGACGGTGGTTGAAGATATCC